CCCCAAAACCCCAAAACCCCAAAACCCCAAAACCCCAAATTTATATATTTAAGTTGACCAATTTTGTGTTAATTAGACTATATTTTTAGTTCCTTCGGTAAGAATTGTACAAAGGAATGTGCATATACAAGCCATCACAAATACAAGGATTAGAGGGTTATCGAATATCTCTACTGCCATTGGTGAGAATATCGACACTAATCCAGCTAGGATGTTGCATCCTCCATAAACTACAGAGGCGAACTTTGATGGGAACAATTCATATACAATGTAGAAGTTCAATCAACTTTCTAAAGTGATTGCAAATCTTATCAAAAAGATAACTCCCATGCTGATGTATGCATTATTGTTTGAGATAAATGTGCCAATGTCAAAACCTTCAATTGTAGAGTTCTCATCAACGATCCCTCCATTATCGTAATAGTTTGTGATAAAGGATATCCCTATTGAAATACAGATAAAGCCGTGGGTCAGAATCATCGCCTTCTTTGTAGGTAGGAGTGCCATTACCACTCCGCTGAGGACTGATGGGATGAAGTCAGCCAGACCGATCAGGAACAGGTTCCAATATTTATCCCCTGGGAGGTACTTTACCATGAACGATATCATGTACATGCTAAACACATTGAACATGAATACAAAGATTGTAATTCACATGTTTGTGAATAGCTTGAAGTTTTTGAAAAGTTCAAGGAAGCTAGTTTTCTCCTTCTTTTCCTTTTCAATGGTCTGCAGATGAGCCTCTGCTTTGAGTGCAGCTAAGCCCTTCTGGTCGAGTTCTTCTTGAAATGGTAATTTCTCATACTTTACTCCATTCATCTTGGCAATTCTAATAAGAGTAGCTCTAGTAGCGTCGTATTTTCTAAGTGAGAACAAAAATTTGGGAGATTCAGGTAGCATCGGGATGAAAACTAACGAATATCCCAGAATGAAGATTGATGAGAGGAGGAAAAAAGTCGCATCTCTTCCACCAAAAATAAAGTATAGAGCCATAACACTTGATAGAGCGTTGTTAACAGACATTATCACTGATGCTACTAGTTTGCATCGCTCCTCATCGAACATCTCCAAGGTGTATAAATATGATATCGAAAGTCGAGTGTACATTCCAATTCCTTTAAAGAATAGAGATGTAAGAACAGATACCCAATTTGGGAAGGTATATATCCATACACTTCCTATTATAGAGAGAAGTACTCCAATTATATGAACTGGCCTTCTTCCATAGGTATCTGATATAGGGGATAGAACAAGAGCTCCTAGGAACATTCCTACAAAGATTGCTGACCCTATTAGGCCTATTTTCCATTCAGGGCTTCATACAAGGTCAAGATCTGTGACCCAGTTTTTTAAACTGTACTTGTCATCCTCAACAAGAACATACTGAGCTCCTGGGGCACATGCTTGCTCTTTTTCACATGTTTCCCACTTATTCTCAATTAAGCATTGCATTGGAGGAATCAGTTCTAGGAAAGGAGATGCAAAAACCATGAGTTCAGCGAATGAGAAAGATATCATGATTGAGCTCACAACGATTATGAATAAATTATTTCCTCTAACCTTAACCATTTCTCGCTCAAGAGTGGCTCCAGGCCTCCTGGCTGCTTCTGAATTGCCATCTTTTCCATTGAATGTGAAGATTCTGTTGGGAGATGGATTAAAATCTGATTTCATTGAATCATCACCAAGGATGTTCTCAGACTCCCGATTTTCATACTTCTGTTCCATTGTGGTAGTTTGAGTATTCAAAATTTAATTCTTAAGTTGGGGTTTTGGGGTTTTGGGGTTTTGGGGTTTTGGGG